TTTTTAGGAGGGGTCAACATTGATCTCTTAATAAGATGAAAATAATTTTTTGAATAATAGTTGTGTAACATTAAAAAATATATATATATATATATAATTGTTATATTAAACGTTTTAACTTTATAATTACCCTCGACTCATTTTCATGTTTTAAATGTATTTTTTCATAGCCTGATGGGTGTTATCGCTGAGAAGATACTTAAAAAAAACTACTAAAAGAAAAATAGCATTTGATACATTTTTTTTTAACACTAGATAATTTAAAGAGGAATAATACTATACGTTTAATTTTTTTATACAAACTAATAGGTTGTTTGGTTTAAAATTAAAGATATATTAAATAAATTCAAGTGGATGATGTGGTAAGTATGGAAAACTGACACATTAATTTGTATGGATTAGTTTAAATATGTAGCATTTTTATTTTTATTTTTATATTTTTGTTGAAAACATGTATTGGAAAAAATATCTGTATATTAAAAAATGTCAAAAAGTATATGTTTATTAGTAGAAAAGTATTCGTTGATAATGTCCATTTATTTATACAAATGAAACTTATGTCTTTTTCTTCAAATTTTAAATAAAATATGACAATACCCCTGATCTGATTATTATATTGTAAACTTTTTAAGATATATAAAAGGAAGCGTTATAATATGTAACTTCAATTTTTTTTTCTTTAATATATATAGAAGTATAAACTTAAAATTTCACCTATTTATTCATGTTTCATCATTAAGTAACACATGGAAGAAGAGGTCAATAATAGTAGCTATGTAAAAACTCAGAGGAGACCAATGATAGTTTCGAAACATGTGGGGTTGTTTAGATAGAACCTCAGGGATGTTGCTAAATGCCAGTAAGTGATAATTAACCCGGTCAAGATACCGAGTAATTAACTTGGTCACGATACCGAGGATAAATTTTTCATATAAATTTAGAATAAAGAGAGATTTGAAAGTGGCCTTTAGATATATCATATATCTATGGTAAACCTTTTTTGAAATAGTAACTAAAGAATATACAAGCGGTTTTGGAATCGAATCTCATGAAGAATAAACCCACCGGCCACAAGGCTTCTTATTTATTCGTTATCTCTCTTCTCTCCTAATCTCAAATCTTTTTAACATTTTCGCGAAGAGTAAATGATTTTTTCCATCCAAATAATGGTTTAATGACACTTTCTTATTTCTAAACTTTTAAAATACTATTTTTCACTTAAAAAAATACATGTAATGACACTTTCTTGTTGACCCCACCAATCTTCGACCAATTCCGATATCATTGCGACTCTACCAATCATTATTCTGTTCCCCGATCATCACTCACAAAAAACTCTCAAACCTTACTCTTGCCGACCTTGTCAATTGCCGACAATCGAGAGATTAGAGTTTGCGCAGCCGCCTCTCCCAAGTCAAATTCTGATCAATCATGATGGCCAAAATCCAATCTTCCACCACCAAAAAACTCATCGGCCTCCCCTTTTCAAAAGCCTCAAAAGAATATACCAAATTTGCTCTCCGTTCGCCGCCGAATCGAAAAGTATATTTTTTGGGTGGAAAAATAGTATTTTAAAAGTTCGTAGGTGAAAAAGTGTTATTAAGCTATTATTTAGGTGGGAAAAAGACGTTAAGTCTTTCACAAAATGTGTGTGTGTCAACTTAATAGTGGATGGTTTTAGAAGTAAATATATTGGATTTTCATGATCCAAACTTATATATTGCATTTCTTCTTTGGGAAGTACCTAGTAAAAAAGGGTGATGTTACCTGTCTACTAGTTACCTTGATTTCATATCTTCAATGATCTTCTAGAGTTTTAATTAGGGAATTGATCGTGTTTAGATTAAGAGAAAAAAAATAGATTGTCAACTATCTCTGGATGGTCGAATAGTTTAATAAGAATTATTAGGTGTATTACTTAAGAAGTTTTGAGTTTGAATCTCTACTCGATTACTAATAAAGATAGTTAATGAAATTCTTGTCCAATTGATAGTTTCAAAGTCGAATAATTAATTAAAGTGTGCGTAAATTGATAAGAATATTCCCATCATTAAAAAAACAAAAAAAAAAAAAAAATTAGTATCGTCAAACCTTGAAAGGAGAAAATTAGAATGTTATAAATGTTATCTCCGCCAACTCATTTCTCCTCGTCACATCAACACTTATACCTGCTTATATTTATAGGTTTTATCTCGCCTTATTGTATTCATAAGTTTACTTAAGTAAATCCTCTTTATTCATAAAGTGAAACAGTTTCATAAAGTTACCTCAATTCGTTTTGGTACCCCTAGTTTAGTTTCAATCAAAATATTCAAAACCAGAAAGGTCATTCTGGGTTAACTCATATTATATCAGTACTCTCAAAATTTTGTTATCATATTTTGATTTAGCAAGTGTTCGATAAAATGTCTGCTAAAAAAGCCAATTCCTAAAACCCGAAAAAGAAGGTATCATTTTCTTTGCTTTTCGTAGGACCTCTTCCCTGTTTATTCATAAAGTGAAACAGTTCCATAACGGTGTGTTATTACCAGTTAGTAAGAATTAAGTTGACATTCGATTTGGGCTATTATTGTTGCTAAACAGATCTAATTTTGTACCATTTTTAGTAGACTAAAACCCTTTAATGATATGACAGCTTCAAGAGTTGCTTTCTAATGAGCTAAAAGAATTAGAAGTAGCTGCTAAAAGAGACACGTTGACGTAAATTGATTAGCGAAATTCCTGAAACTGATAAATTGATTAGACTTGATCCTGAAAATAAGACGGCAAAATTCCTAGCGACAACGAACTTTCATTGGACCCATTTATCCGGATCGTGAATAAAGTATCAACATTAAGGGACGAGGATAATGTTTTATTCTTGAATCGAGTTGGGAACGAAAACTAATATATCCCTAGTGTTGATACAAAAATTCGTTACCAACCAGAAATATCCAATTGGCCTTAGAAGGGACTAGGTAAGATGTACGTGTGGTTACTAATAACCAACAAGGTCAATAAAAACGACGTAGTAAAGTAAAGAAAAAAAAAGGTTGTATAGTGATTCAACAGTATAGAAAACCAAACCTACATCCATTGTTATTTTATTGTTGGAGGGAGTTACAAGGTCAAATGAGGTTACAAAGGGAAGTTCACAGGCTAAATGGAAGGATTTAGCTCTCACGACCTATTCTCTCTAAACACTCTCTAAAACAAGTCTGGATGCTTTTTCTCTTGAACTTTACTAATAAACTAGAATCCTCCTTTGAAACAGAGGTTGTAGACTCCTTTTATAGAGTGGGTGTTACGGGGTTGAATGCATAATCCCCCTAATTAGAATCTGAGTTAGTAATTCTCATGCTTGTAACAGACTGGGGCATGCTAATGGCAGCTTAACCCATACTTATGATAGTAATCACCTTGTAAGAAAAGACAAACACTAACGGGACGACACGTGGGAGGATCCCGTCGGACTCTGATGTACCTTAAGGACGCGCAGCGCAAATCTGACCATCTGGAAACTAGGCATAACACCCAAAATCCTTAAATTATATAAATAAGATAATTTTAAAACACAAGTTTAAAACAAAAGAAATCCTAAGTTCGATGGCCTGAAAGCAATATTATATTAATTCTAATATTTGATTATTGAGTAAAGGAAAATAAAAAGATCCAACAAAGTTCAATGGTCCAAAACAATATAAGGAATTAAAACTTAAGATAGCTCAGGAAAAAATATATTTGCCAATAATGAATAATCTTGAACAATTATCAAACCTTTGGATCATGATCAAAGAATCGATGCTAAACTAGTAACAAAAATTTATGGAGCCTCTGTCCATAATTGGTTGTTGAATGGAGCCTTAGTAAAGCTTAAAATAGTAAACTATGGACATGATATTGATTGTTGAATATCGGTGACTAACAATACAGCCAAGGCAACTGCAAGGTAGAAATTGGAACCCCATTTCATATGACAAATAAAGATAGGTTGGCAAATGAATCAGCTCCCACCACATCCAACGGAAAATGATTTGATTTTGACTAAACCCAAGAAACGGCCATTCATAAAAGGAACGACTATTCCTCACGGAAGAAATAGTTGTTCCTCTCTAAGGAACGATCATTCTTTCCCTTATGGAAGTTAAGGGACAACTAAAAACGATTGTTCTTAGATGAGAATGATCGTTTCTTCATAAGGAACAACTGTTCCATAAGATGGAATGGTTGTTCCATCTTATGGAACACTCATTCTATAAGATGGAACAACTATTCCTTCTTATGAAATGGTTGTTCCATAAGAAGGAACGACTGTTCCATAAGGAATGATTGTTCTCTTTATAAGGAACAGTCATTCTTTATGGGAATGATCATTTTTTATTAATGGAATAATCGTTCCTTATGTATTTAGTCAAAGTCGTCAGTCGACGTAATAATGTCAACTTGGTGTCATGTCAGGTTTGTGAGATTCGTTCGTTAGCTTAGTATTACCTTTCATATGACTAATAATACAAGCTTGCCTAAATACATATCTGTTATTAGGATGTGTAAATATTGTAAATACTGATTAGTTGTTAATCTTCATATTAGTTACAGATTAGTTAGTTAGTTAGCTTCACTAATTACACTTTACGTTATAACTAATTTATTGTAATAGTGGCTATATATATAGCCTGCTTCTATTTTGTTATTCTCAAGATAAAGAAAGCAGTTTATTCTTCCTTCTCTCTTTTTTCTTCTCAGCTCTTCTTCTTCTTCTTCTCGAGCTTAATATGGTATCAGAGCGAATTTGATCCACTGCAAATTTGCTTGTTTCTTTTTTTTATTGTTCTTGTCTTCTTCAATATGGCCATTCTGTCCTCGAACGCTGATGATTCCAATTCTGAAGAGCGTATCAATTTGAACCATTAGTCATTGATGAACCTTCGAATCCTTACTATCTTCATCATTCTGACAGCCCTAGGCAAGTGCTTGTCTCGCAACAGCTCACTGATGAGAATTACACCAGCTGGAGTCATGCGATGTTAATTGCCCTATCTATGAAGAACAAATTGGGATTTGTTGATGGTTCTATTTCTGAACCTAAAGGTACTGACAATAATCTTCTCAATTCCTAGATTCGCAACAATAATATTGTTATATCTTGGATCTTAAATTCGGTTTCAAAAGAAATTTCTGCCGGTATTATCTTTGCTTCTTCTGCCCAAGAGATTTGGTTAGATCTTAGGGATCGTTTTCAACAGAGGAACGAACCTAGAATTTTTCAGCTTAAACGTGAATTGATGAATCTATGTCAAGAACAGAGTTCAGTTAGCATTTACTTCACAAAGCTGAAAACTATATGGGAAGAACTGAGTAATTACCGGCCAAATTGTTCCTGTGGAAAGTGCACTTGTAATGAAGTTAAAAATCTTAACAATCATCATCAAACGGAGTACATGATGTCCTTCTTAATGGGACTTGATGATTATTTCTCTCAAGTTCGTGGTCAGTTGCTTCTCATGGATCCGATGCCTCCTATCAATCGTGTTTTCTCTCTTATTGTTCAAGAGGAACAACAAAGGAGGACTAATCCTTCCTCTGATAATTCTACTGGCACAATGGCATTTGCTGTTAAAATAGATGTTGCTAAGTTTTGTGGTTCTAGTTCTCAAAATTCTCAGAATTCTAATTCCAGTGCTCCCAAGAATCAGAAAAGAGATAGGCCTTATTGCACGCATTGCAAGATCTTGGACATATTGTGGATCGTTGCTACAAGATCCATGGATATCCTCCTGGATATAAATTTCGTTCCAACAACAATTAAAATGCTGTTGCTCATCAAGTTTCTACTACAGATGATAGATCAGATCACTCTAATTCTTTTGGTGGTTTTGTACAGAATCTGAACTCCAATCAATATCAGTAGCTAATGTCCATGCTTTCTACACATTTGAGTAGCTCAACAAAGGTCACCAATGCTCCTAATCCTGCTCAAACCAACTATCTTGCAGGTATTTGCTTCTCTGTCTCTCTAAGTTCTTTATTTTCATCCAATTAGTTATGGATTGTAGACTCAAGAGCTACTCGACATATTTGTTCACAAGCCAATGCTTTTGTTTCCCTGCGTTCTATTCATCACACAATAGTTACTTTGCCAAATCATTCTCAGATTTTGGTTCATTTTGCTGGTGATGTTAAATTGCATTCTGACCTTGTGCTTAAGGATGTACTATTTGTTCCTCAATTCAAATTCAACTTGATCTCAGTCAGTGCTTTAGTAACTGGATCTACCCTTATAGTGAGTTTCCTCCCTGACTACTTTGTTATCCAGGATCTATCCACCAAGAGGATGATTGACAAAGGTGACAAAGTTCAAGATCTCTATGTTCTTAATGTTCATTGTTTGAATTTTATTTCCAATGGTTTTGTCAATAATGTTTCTGCTCATATTTGGCATAACAGATTAGGACATATTTCTTTTAAGAGACTTGATTCTTTGAAAGATCAATTGAAATGTGATGTAACTAGATTACATAAGTTGGATCCTTGTTATATTTGCCCTCTTGCTAAGCAAAGAAGGCTACCTTTTGAATCCAATAATCATTTGTCCAAATTTCCTTTTGATCTTGTGCACTGTGATATTTGGGGGCCATATCCAACTGTTTCTTATACTGGTCATCGGTTTTTCTTGACTCTTGTTGATGATTGCACTCATTTTACTTGGGTTTATTTGTTGAAGAATAAGTCTAATGCTGTCTTTGTGATACCCAAGTTTTTCAACATGGTTTCAACTCAGTTTAATGCCAAAATCAAGGTGTTTCGATCTGATAATGCACTTGAGTTATCTTTTGTTGAGTTTTTTCAAGATAAAAGCATTTTGCATCAGTTTTCATGTGTTGAAAGGCCTCAACAAAACTCAGTTGTGGAGCGAAAACATCAACACCTATTGAATGTGGCTCGGTCATTATTTTTTCAATCTAGGATTCCAGTTTCTTTTTGGACAGATTGTGTTCTTACGGCGGCTTTCTTGATTAATAGAACTCCTTCCCCACTATTGAGGCACAACACCCCTTTTCATTTGCTATACAAAACAGCTCCTGATTACACTATTTTTCGAGTCTTTGGCTGTTTAGCATTTGTTTCCACCTTAGCTGCCCATCGAAACAAGTTCCAACCTTGTGCTCGAGTTTGTGCTTTCCTTGGTTATCCGCTTGGTGTGAAAGGTTATAAGTTCTATGATGTGGAAACCAAACAAGTGTTTCTTTCACAAGATGTAGTGTTTCATGAGGAAATGTTTCCTTTTCATGTTGTTACTAGTTCCGATCAGGTTACCGATCTGTTTCCAGATTTAGTTCTGCCACATTCTTCATTACATGCTCCTTGTCTTCCAGATCTTGATTCTTCACCTGTTCATGCTCCACTTGTTCCCTCTGGTGATACTTCTACTTCAACAGCCAATATTCTAGTAAATGATATTCCAAAAACTGCTCCTTCTTCATTTGCTGGTGTTGTTCTTCGCAAATCTACCAGGATGATTCATCAACCTCATTACTTGAAGGATTACCACTGCAATTTACTTACTAGTTCTTCTATTCCTGCTTCCACTTCTACATATTATCCAATCTCTAACTATATATCTTATCATGGCCTTTCGGATTTCCACAGGCAGTTTGTGCTCAGTGTATCTTCTCAGGTTGAGCCTCAATACTATCATCAAGCCGTGAAGTTTCCTAAATGGAGATTGGCTATGCATGAAGAGTTAAAAGCTATGGAAGAAAATAACACCTGGACCGTCACTTCTCTTCCTCATGACAAACATACCATTGGATGCAAATGGATTTATAAGATCAAGCTTAAATCGGATGGATCTATCGAGTGACATAAGGCTCATTTGGTAGCTAAAGGCTATACACAACAAGAAGGTTTGGACTTTATTGACACTTTTTCTCCAGTCGCAAAATTAGTGACTGTCAAGGTTCTTCTTGCCCTTGCTGCCTCATATAATTGGCATCTAGCTCAACTTGATGTCAATAATGCCTCATCCGAAAATTAAACATGGCTAGGAGTAGAGAAATTTCTTGGAGTTGTAATAGTAGAAATCTTCTTCTCAGAAAAAAGTTTAGCAAGGTCGCGACTTAAGAAATCTTCAGCAATGCAAAAGAGGATGGGAGATAATGGATCACCCTGACGAACACCCCTTGAGCACCCGAAAAATCCATGAGGGGATCCGTTAATCAAGACTGGCAGTCAGCCTCCATTCGAATTACATTAGGGGATCTTTCGCTTTTGCCAGATCTAGAGAGATACTACGAGTCCTCCGTCCCAGATTCCATCGCCGCGGCCATCTAGTTCATCGATACTACCAAAAAGTCTCATGCTTACGTTACTGTTATTGCTGGTTTTATTATCTTGGATCATGACAATGGGTTTGACTCAATGATTACAAAACTTCCTTTTCTCGATCTTGATTCTCATAGAAAGGTCAAGCACTACGGTCCTAGTTGAACCGGAAAGACCCAAATTCACACCGGTGTCATAGAATTACTTAGCTTAGACACCATATGATTAGGTACCATATGAGCAGGCCCGACAAAAACCTTGTATAGCTTCTTCGATGGCGATCTTTTTGAGAAAGTCTATATGGATCTCTCCTTAGGCTATCCTAGATAGGGGGAGTCTTCTCCATCTCAAGGCAAACTAGTATGCAAGCTTCACAAGTCAATTTATGGTCTCAAGCAAGCTTCGCGACAATGGTATTTAAAATTTTCTCAAGCCTTGATCAAGTTTGGCTTTCTTTAGTCCAAATCTGATTATTCTCTCTTCACAAAGAGTCATGCATCCTCATTTATTGCTCTTCTAGTTTATGTGGATGATATCATCCTTACTAGCCCTTCATCTCAAGCTAATGATGAGCTCAAACAGTTTCTGCATACACAGTTTAAGTTAAAGGATCTTGGTTGTCCAAGTACTTTCTTGGTCTTGAGATTGCTAAGTCCAAACAGGGTATTGCACTTTCTCAACATCATTACACCTTACAATTGCTTGAGGACTCAGGTTATTCGGCTTGTAAACCCACTATTGTTCCCATGGATCCCAAAATCAATTTGATTGCTACTAAAGGTGAATTGCTTCCTGATATAACACACTATCAACGGCTTGTTGGGAAGCTTCTTTATCTCACTTTGTCTTGCCCATATATCACTTTTGCAGTTCACAAGCTCACTCAATTCTTGGCCCAACCTCGCCTTCCTCATCTCAAGGCGGTACATCAGCTACTTCGTTATCTCAAGAACAGTCCTGGTCAAGGGTTGCTGTTTTCATCTAATTCTTCCTTACAGCTTAAAGCATTCTCTGATGCTGATTGGGGATCATGTCCTGATTCTTGACGCTCCGTTACAGGTTTTTGCATCTTTATTAGAGACTCTTTAGTCTCTTGGAAGGCCAAAAAGCAGACCACCATCTCTCAATCCTCAGTTGAAGCTGAGTATAGAGCTATTTCCTCTACTGCCAGTGAGCTTATATGGTTGCAGCAACTTCTTCAAGATTTTCAAGTCACAGTTGATTCTCCTACTATGCTATATTGTGACAATCAAGCTGCGATACATATTGCCTCTAATCCAGCCTTTCATGAATGCACTAAGCATATCGAGATAGATTGCCATTTTTTTCATGAAAGAGTTGCTTCGGGAGTTCTCAAATTGCTGCCCATTCGATCTCAATACCAATTGGCTGACCTATTTACTAAACCCCTTCCCTCTACTCAGTTTTTTTCTTTGTTATCCAAGATGGCTGTAAAAGACATTTACCAGCCACCTTGAGGGGGAGTATTAGGATGTGTAAATATTGTAAATACTGATTAGTTGTTAATGTTCAGATTAGTTACAGATTAGTTAGTTAGTTAGCTTCACTAATTACACTTTACAGTATAACTAATTTATTGTAATAGTGGCTATATATATAGCCTGCTTCTATTTTGTTATTCTCAAGATAAAGAAAGCAGTTTATTCTTCCTTCTCTTTTTTTTCTTCTCAGCTCTTCTTCTTCTTCTTCTTCTCGAGCTTAATATCTGTCATAGAAGTATATCCATGTTGCAAAGTTCAAAATCGAGAATTTGAATTAATAATACGGTCCAACAAAGTAGGTTTTGTCTTTTTCTTTCTTTTTTTTTTTTTTTTCCTCAAGTATTAAAGTACCTAATCTTCATCTTGAAATTTGATATTAACAATTTAAAATTACACAACTTATACAAAAGTTGGGATACAAGTCCACAATTTTACCAATCACATCTCACATTGCTTAATTTTCCTTCAGTTTAATAAATGTTTTTGCAAAGTTCGAAAACAAAATTGAGTTAATAATAAATTTGATCAAATAGATATTGTTTTTTCTTTTTTTTTTAAAAAAAAAGCATTAAAGTAATTAATCTTCATTCTCCTTAGATGTTGTTGATGCGTGATTCAAACACCAACTAACCGTCACGTGAGTAACGTTGATTGATCAAGAGACACACATGATTATCAAACAAAAAATGTGGAATGAATGTGATAAAAGCTTTTTAAAGTGGTTCGGATGCTAGGGTAGCAAGTCCTATGTCCACTGATTTGAATTAGTAATGTGGGTCAGGTCGCAACAGCGAACTGACTTACATACGAAAAGTAAAATCAGAAAAGTACAAGAGAGAGAGAGTTTTTCAGTGTAGAAATGGTCGAATCCCCTTAATGAAGGGGTCTTCTTCATTTTATATCAAGTTGAAGGCGTGTAATCATCATTAAATCCATGGGTTGGTGTGATTGTCAGGACATAATCCGGCTTTACGTCCCATTGCCCTCTTTCCCAGCTAATTTCACAAGATTTATTGCAGGGAAATGGACAAGTGGGAGCTCCATATCATTTGGCAGACCTGACG